TCTGACACGCGGAGTGGTCATTCAACCACGCGAGACGTGGGCGAACCTTCTTGCCTTCACGAGGCTCTTATTTCCGCGTTCCGTTCCGTTTTCATCCCGCGTCGCGTCCGTGAGCCCGCGTGACCCCAGGTTCCACGTGCAACTAGATTGCAACTAGAACGGCGACACCCCTTTCGTCTCGACTCCTCGGAGCGCAACGGCCGATGGTACGAACTTTGCAGATCGAGGAGGAAAGGAAGAGGAAATCAGATGCCGACTCCCTTGCCGACCATCTTATGAATAATGGTAATTCGAAGGTCACTGGGATGTTGTTGGCATCTATCACGGTCAATCCCACAAGGGTTTTTCTTCAAAGAGTGAAGGAAAAGAAGGAATACGTCAGATAAATGCCCATTATGTTGAAACGGTTCCTGTTGAGCGCAACCATTAACGGTTGTTCTTGCCTTTAATGGAATGGAATTTTTTGCTGTTCCCATCATAATTATTCATGCCGCGTAGTTGATCGATCACAGGGGTTCTGTTTTCTACACATTTATTTGTCGGGATGCCAGACTGGAGTACTTAGTAGTCAACCCCCTGGGGGTGACTACAGATCGCTCCTGGCGCCTTGAAAACGTCAGTGAAAGAAGGCAGCTCAAAATTCAGAGTTTTTTTCGGGTGTTAATCAACTAATGACAATGCAGCCTCCGACTCACAAAATGTCCCATCTTGCCTGATGTGTTCTGTGCCGTGTTTTCCCATCTTGTCAAATTATTTTTTTGTCGATTTTTTAATATTTCACCTGTGGCGAAATCGATTTTGCCAGTTCCTCAGACTCCATTTTTCTTCCCCCTTTCAGCTAATGAGAAACGTTTAATTATTCCTTCTCGTTCCATGTGATCCTTTAACAACCTGTTGCACTAAAAGGCCATTTTAAAGTAGTAGCTAACTCATTAAAGTGGCTTTTAATTAATGGCCTTTTTATGTCTAACGGCTCCTTTACCTGAATGGCAGTAAAAGAATCACCCCATGAGACTAGGTCCCGAACTACCTTTAAATTAGAAACAGGTATCAGTATCAGTATCAGTGTGCCTACGGCGGAGTTCGTGCCTGCCAATTTTTTAACCTTTGCAAATTTTCTGTACTGATCCCAGAACGATAAAATCCATGTTTAATTTCAGAAAAGGTTTTCATCTATTCTAGTTCTAATCGATACTGTCATTCTTCCAGCAATGATACGGTGACCAAATTTAAAAGAGAAACTCAATCTCGTTCGGTACTTGAAAGAGGTACTTATTAGGGGCGCCGTATCTGGCGCGAGTATCGCGAAAATGCTAATCTTTTCTGACGAGTTCTTTGTATAATCATTTCTCAAACTGTGACATGGACTGTTTGGCATTACGGACTTTAATCCTTCACCTCTTGGAAAGCGAAATTTTTTTTTAATATTTCCATTTAAACATTCTTTAAATTTCTTGGGTAAAGAGCCTCTCGGAACGCGAGATGCTAAAAGCTGCGAGCTAAATTATTCACACGATCGTTTTTGCTGGAGTTGGCACAGCACAAGTCTTATCTGCATAATCTAGAGCGTTGTCCGTTTTCTTTTACGCATCCTCTAAGGAGAGAGCGGGAGCCAATGATGAAAACTTTGCGAGAGATAATGAAAAAAACTAACGTGACCAGAATTGGTCGGGGGATTGCTCAATATTGCGGCCATTTACAGCTCGAGTTTTTTCATTTCCCTCAGGCAATAAACTTTTTACCAGCCTGGTCCTTGCTGGTCAATATTAAATTCTAGACGAACATATGTTCTAGACATAATTCACTCTTTGTTCCGATATCATTAGGAAAATCCCTTCGTACTCGTAGGGGGAGAGAAAAGAAAGTCTTGGTTACTCGTTTTTTGAGGACGACGACGCGAACGTATCACTAGGCGTTCAAGTTCCAGGTTTTTCGAATGGCATTTTGGCTACACATTTCAGATCTGGAACGGGGGGGGGGCGAATGATTTTTACAGATCTCAACGAGGATGATGCGCAATATGATAACCAATTTGAGGACATCTTAGGCTCAGTCATACACAGTTTACTGTAGGTGCAATCTGGTAAACCTGCATATTCATAAATCTCCATATCTGATGCATTTTCACTGGATTTTGCTGGTACGTTCAAATCGGCTCGGCTATTGCAATTGACTTGCATGAGGAATTCCGAGGCATTCAGCTGAACTTAGGCAACTGACGGGGAACCACCCAATTGTTTGTCGTATCTATGGAGAGATACTGAGGGACGCACTGCCGCTAGCAGGATAGTATGGGTTATCCAGAAATTCGTGAAGCTCATCCATCGATCTTGGAAAGGGCGGACATTTCCGTTTCACAATAAAAATTTGCATGCCATCGGTTGCAGGTAGGTAGCAGGCAGGGCCATTTCAGAGTGAGATTAGATTTGGTACCAGCTTCCGCACAACACATCTGCCTTCCGCTGACTCAGACAAATCACACGATGTCGTACCGAAGCTCCTTAGCAACTATAGGCTTTCCGAGTCAGGCATGGAAATAAGGAAGTCAAATTCGACCCGGAAATTCAAATTTGTCGCTTCACGGGAGCGTCAAATGCGTCTTAAGAAAAATCAAATCCGTCGCTGTGCTGGATGACGGGCTTTAAAGAATAGAATGTTAGACAAAGAGAAAGTTAATTATGACAGCCGAATATTATGCCCGTGCTGGTGATAGGCTTCTTAATGCGGTTCCATTTTGCACGGGCCCAATTGCATATGCATTGATCCCAATGCATGTGTGCATTTTGATGTTACGTTATTATTGCATTTTATTTTTTTTTTGGCAACCTTTGATGAAAAATATAAATCACAAGTATAGGTTTTCCATGCGCCATAACGATGTATGAGAGTCAGGTGCGGCATGGAAATTCGAACTCGACACTGCCCTGCATGACAGTCAAAAGTAACATGAGGAGATTCAGATGAGACAGGCCTGTCGCATGATATGCAGATATGCATGTCTGACCTGAGGAAAATCAAATGCGACAGCCCCATGTCATGAAAGCAACGGCTTAACAGCTTATATCACAATGTCGTTCTATTCCAGAAAAATGGGGATGTATTATTGTCTTTCACCTTATCTTTCCTATGGTTCTTGAAGCAATCTGGTGTTCTAATGTTGTATTTAAGTTTCCATCCCGTACTTGACTTTATCGAGCCCACTTTTAACGAGGAAAACCAATATGTTGCACTTTTCAGGGGAAGCCCCCAAAAACTTCTTCGCCCTTTTGAAAGAATCTGGCCTCTCACCCCTAATTGTTGGTGGTATCATATTCGCAGGACTAACCCTGACGTATCGATACTTACCAAATAAGATTAATTGCAAAAGCTGCGTCAGATGCAAATGAATCTGCAGCCGCGCTTTGTGGAAATGCAACGAGAAGGCATCCCCCTTGGCACGGGTACGGGTATACCTTGTATGCCTGTCGCATCTGACTTTCTGTATGTCCAACAGGCTTTTCTTCTAAGTCTAACACCCACTGCGACGCATTTGTATTTCTTCGTCTCATTTGACTTTCCTATTTCCATATATCTGGAATACCTACACCAAGTCATTCCTTATTGGTGGATCTTTGCGTCGCTAACACGTGAGGAAAGGAGTGAATAAATACGGAAGAAATCACGTACGAGGTACGTCCCGCTTCTTAGGATTAAGCTATGAATGCCTCTTGCATCATATGCACCAGATTCGGAGATAAGGATCCAGAAATATCATAGAATGGTCCATGATAACAAGAATTTGCACTCCACATCCGATTCGATAAGTCATCGAACAGAGACATCGATCTCCAAACCCCTTGATGTCCGCAATTAAGATCGCCCAAATGTGATCATCAGGCCTGATGTACATCAAGTATAATGCGTTCAAGCAACGGACGCTTTTCGATAAGCAAAGGGATAGTTAAAGTGTCAAAGGGTGACACGAGAAAGTCCAGGCTGTCCTCAATTATCTCAGGGATTGAGGCGTCCTTGCTCCTGAGGAGGGTCTTCCACCTCCAGTCGTGGGCGCAATCTGTATTTTTCATTTCTCCATGTTAGGAAACTGGGAACAAATCCTGGTCCAACCACTAACTACGTAGAGTACTTCAAGTATCTCTGCTCCAGATGCTAACATGAACATCGTTGCACATCGATGACTAGATGGCGAACATACGGGGTAATCGTAGGGGATAATTTGGGTCGGACCGTGAAATGGGAAGAATACTTCTTGCATTCTCCCTTCAACCGCATGATGCAGCAGTGATTAAACCAACTTTGTCTTATTGGCGTTCCCTAGAAGACGACTCGAATGAATATAGGGTTTCCATGGTGATCAAGAATGGTTTTTGAGAGGGGAAGGACATGAGCTTTCGCCTACAGTGATGAAACAAGTGGCTTGCACCCATGGAACGGCGCCCATAAATACTTCGCCACAGATAAAACCAAGATTAAACCAAGTACAGGATCTCAACATTGGGTGACCAGTCGTGTTTACGGTTAGCAAAGAAGTCACTTCGTTAATCATGACTAAATGGAGAAGCAAAGATGAGATACTGTATCAGAATAACATCCAGTCCTCAATTATTGGTACCATAAAAAATGTTATCTTGCTGCAGAGGCATAGCCAAGATTTTCTTCAACGTGGACATGAGTCTCTTGTGCAAACAGAGGGGCCATTTACAAGTTACATTTACACGGCCTTCCTCCACCCCACTATTTCGAGTGAATCACGGACGCTTCAAGTTTGATGTCCAAACATGCATAAGCGAGAGCTAGAACCTAAGTTGATGGCAGCATCCCGCCTCTTCCAAATTGCCAAGCTTATGTCCCGATAAGAGGAAACGTCACTGAAGATGATATAGCTTTCCGAGTCGGTGAAATTGTTCAGTCATATTCATCACTGTTCCATACGTCCTGTGAGTGCATCGATAACATCCGTGAAAATGCTTGGTTTATTCGAAAAACTCGCACCTCATATGAAGGTACAATCCGGAAAAGTGCAAGTAGAAAATCTCGTATTCCGTCTTCATTACCGCTTGACGTCTATGTTACTTCTGCTCGGGTGCATCCTCGTCTCCGCTACTCAATTCATTGGGGAGCCCATTCAGTGCATCAATACCTTTATGCCCGACGATGAGCAATTTGGGAAGGCCTGCAACACGTACTGCTGGATCATGTCTACCTTCACACTTCCTCATCTATATGACAAGGAAGTGGGAGTGGAGGTGGCCCACCCTGGCGTAGGTCCTCACACAGAAGAAGTAGATAAAAAGTACCATGCCTACTACCAGTGGGTTCCTTTCGTCTTGCTTCTACAAGCCATGATGTTCTACGCCACTCATTATATCTGGAAGAATATAGAGGGCGGGCAGTTGAAGAACGTGCTTAACGGCCTGGACGCACTCATGTTGGATAAGGAGGTACGAGAAAAGAAACAGGAACAGGTAGCCAAGTATCTGGAGAAGACCAAGGGGAGGCATACGTTCTGGTTCTCTGAGTACATATTATTCGAGATCCTCAACTTCTTTCATGTCATCGGGCAGATCTACTTCACCGACAAGTTCTTGGGTTACGAATTCACGACGTATGGGGCCGATGTAATCAAATTCATGGAAGAAGACCCAGAGAATCGCACGGATCCCATGACCAGAGTCTTTCCCAGAGTCACTAAATGTACATTCCATACCTTCGGTCAATCCGGTACGATCCAGAAAATAGATAACCTCTGTGTTCTAGCTCTGAATATCGTGAACGAGAAGATTTACACCGTGTTCTGGTTCTGGTTCGTCATTCTTGCCGTACTCTCTGGTCTTACATTGCTGTATCGCGCGGCTATCCTTCTGTCGGATGCCCTTCGAATCATTTTGCTCCGAACGCGGGGCGGAAACCGGAGAAGAGATCTTGTCCAAAGCATAACGAGGAAGTTGTGTCAATCTGACTGGTTTCTTCTTTATCATATTGGAAAGCACATGGATCCTCTCCATTACGAGGGTTTTCTCGAGAAAGTTGATGAGGCATTCAACGTAGATGATGACGACTCAGAGGAATTGAAGCCTTTGAAAATGTAGCGAAAATGATTTTTCTCAACCTCTCCTGACATGTAGTCGAGATATCAATCAAAGCCTTGAACAGTAAGTCCGAAATAAGGTTAACCCAAGTATGATTTCCTTGTAGAGTTCACAGTTGTAGAAAAAACTGCCTTCGTTGGAAAAATAGGACAATATGGCAACATACTACCTCTCTCAGGTTATATTGGACCAGTGTGTACGGTCCACTGACTTTGGAGTGGTTTCTAATGAAGCTGACTGTGGATAAGAGGAAGGATAATGCAGTAGAGACGTCTCCTTTTTTCACCGAATGAGTTCCTGGTGCAGTTCCGGCCAGACATGCCTATTGTACCTTATCCCCGAGCAACTCTTCTTTCGTATTGTTACGGAGGGAAAGTGGGAGACGGACGATGGAAGGCATGAGAGGACGAAAGAAGCCAAGGAACTGCCGGGGATTGAACCCGGGCCTCCTGATTGCCGGTCAGGTGTGCTACCTTTACACCACCGAACCTCGGACATTCAGTCGACCCTCTCGATGCCATCCTCATCCGTCACGCTATCAACCCCTTCACGCGGGACTTCATCAATCCTTTGTCATGGAAATTGGGAGTTATTGGGAGATTTCCTTCGATTTCAACGAGATCTTATTATATTGAGAGAAGAAGTGGAATTATCGATTTCATGCTTCAATGTTAACGTCTCGTACTGTGAGTTATGCGGCCTCCAAGATTCAGAAGCGAGTGGGAGAGACTGATTGGACTCATTACAAGAGCCTCCATTCTCAACGACCCCACTCTCTGTTGCAATAAAAGTCCATCCGTGACTCGCTGTTCTGTGGACCCTTTTCCTCTCGGGTTTGTTCTACAAGGCATCTAATAAAGTGCAAATGTATTCACGCATCGCGTTTATTTCTGGAAGGGTTTTGAAACGAGAGGTACACTCGGTTTCATATTGTAATGAGGAATATTCTGTGAGAATAATTTATTAATTCAATCTTTGATGACGTCTTGTAGAATGCGCGAGGCAGTAAGAGAAGGGGCCCCACCCAGTACCTCAGGTAATGATCCACCCCATGTCCACGTTCTTGGATTTGCGCCTTACGAACAATACTTCAAACCCGAAGCGACAGAAGCAGCTGTTGTTGCTTCTGGTATGGAAGGATAGCTTGTGGCGAGCTTTTCAAAAGAGAACTCCTTGCTTTTAGATACAATGAGGAATAATCCTACTTGTCAGTAAATGTATGTCCGAAACTCCAAGATCGCTGCATAACGAAACCTACAAGTTTAGGGAGTTGGTCTTCAATGGCGCCGTGTGGCAGTTCACCCACAAACGGAGATCCAAAGTTTCTCTCAGTTAATTCACAAGCGGATGTGCTTGGCTATGTAGGAATTAACAAGGAGTAACGGGGTTTATGGATTTAAAAAGACACCGCAGTCGATTATAGAAACTTCATTCCAAAGTATGCCTTCGACGAAGAGAACAGAGAAACAAATAAACTATTTTAATCGTTTTGCCAGTGCGGGAAAAGAGCTGGGAGAGTGAATCGAAGCAAGGACCCTTTCCCCTTGTCAAAACTCAGGTCTGATGGTATAAAGTCTCTCATCTGGTTTCACCTCTGGTTAACCAGTGAATCAATATTGGGTCAATATTAGAAGAGACCCCACGCAGAAAATTGTGCTTAGACAAGACCTGGACTTGCTTTTTTTTTTTACTCTCAGAATAAGAGAAGGTTATTCGTAAACATATGTGGGCCTCTCGAAAAGTTATTGGACCGAACTTCACATGAACAAACTATCAACAGAAGTTTGACTTCAATATGATCTCCTTCGAAATAGTTCCCTTGACTTGGGATACCCTTCTCCCGTTTGTAAAGAGCTTGGAACACAGGCTGTAACCCATTCTTGGTAACCTCCTTCAACGTGTTGGTCGCAGCTGATTGAAGAGCGTCTGTGTCGTCGAAGCGCATCTTTCAGAAGGCACTTCATTCTGGAAAACAGCGTGAAGTCTAAAGGCACGAGGTCCGGTGAGTACGGAGAATGTAGGAACAATGTCACGCCGCGATTGCTCGGAAATTCAGTGGTACTGTCATGATACTGATTGATTGCCGGCGGTCATAGCAAACAATCTTAGAAGGGCCTGCACAGTGTCCTCCGTACTGCTTGTCGATGGCAGTCAGATGGCTTGGCCGTCCACTGCGTTCGTCATCTTCATTGGATTCCCGCCTTTCGTAATCCTCCTACCTTTTCATGTGTCCGAGTGGCGCAAGCGAGTGGGTGTTACTTTACTACCGTTGAGAGAAGTGTATCCCAAGTAAAGGGAACTATATCGAAGGGTATCGTACTGAAGCCAAACTTCTATTTATAGTTTGCTCATATAAAGGCCGGTCTTAGAACTTTTTGATAGGCCCACGTATGTGGTGGAAAATTAAACCTGAATCTTCATTACGGCAAGAGTATTGATCATGGCATTCTTCCATGGTAGACACTCTCCTAATATAAGTGGGTTCCAGGAATACGCATAATTGACTCATATGAGTCAATTTCGATGAAAGTTGACTCACATTGCGTACAAATTGTCTCATATTGTGTGTTCTTAGTATATATTATGCTGACGCAGAGATGTCGTACTTAAAGTGCGGTTCGTCATGAAAGGTTTGCAATGCCCTTAGGTTCAGCGTCACACAGGTTGAGAACCACAGCTCTGAGGAGAGTGAGAGAAATTTAAGCTCGTTTCTTCCAAGACCTGATCTTTACTCATTGTCGGACCTCCTTTCAGGCCGGTATATTTTACTATAGATTTCAGTATCGGCAGCAGCCAATGCTGTGCTGCACTAATGAAATAATTTTTTCCATTTGATTAAGAAATACATGTTTATTTTTTTTAGGTCATACGCCTCATAGATCACAATAAAACCTTAAAAAACCGTATAATAGATTATAGGTAATGATAGCACCTGGTCAAAGCTGATGGTAAAACTAACGTGACCACAATTGACAGAGGTTTCTCAATGTGGCAGCCATTTGCGAGTCCAGTTCTTTCTTTTCCCTCAGGGAACAAACTTCTTAAAGGCCTGATCCTTACTAGTCATTATTAAGTATTAGTTAAGAATATAGGTTCTTGATAAATTTCACTCCTCGTTTCAGTTTAATTAGGAAAACCTCCATGCTCTCAGTAGAAAGAAAAATGGTGCAGAAAAACGGCAGAAATCAATGATGTTCTGCTGCTTAGGACTGAACTGTGAATGCCTCTTGCTGCATGTAATCATGTTCACCAGTTCTGGAAATAGGGACTCAGAAATATAATATTAATAGAATGACCCATGATAACAGGAACTTGCGTTTCGCATCCGATTCGATAAATCATCGAACAGAGACATCGATCTCCTTGATGTCCGTAATTAAGATTGCCCAAGTGTGATCATCAAGCGTGATATGCATCAAGTACGGTGTGTTCAAGCAATGGACACTTTTCAATAAGCGAAGGGATAGTTAAAGTGTCAAAGGGTGACACGGGAAAGTCCAGGCTGCCCTCGATTATCTCAGGGATTGAGGAGTCTTGTTCCTGAGGTGGGTCTTTCTCCTCCAGTCGTGGGTCCGAACAGGGTTTTTCACTTCTTAGGAAGCGGGTGGGAAATCCAGAAACAGGGTTCCTGGTCCACCCCTAACAATGTCAAGGACTTTCTCTGTAAGTTAAGTATCTGCGCTCAAAATACGAAAAAAACAATCGTCGCAACTACTGGGCCTAAATAGCGAATACATAATTTTTTTTAAATTACAGCGGGGAGGTAGCGGACGAGGCAATCCCTTCCATCGTTACTTGATCGCCCTATGGAAACTCCTTCATGAGTCGTCATGCATTATATCCTAAATCAAGGGGAAATAAGAAACCTTCCAGTCATAAGGGAATCGTCGTGATCGATGCGCGGAATTTCAAGCAATGAACTAGGAAAGGTAGGGCAATATCCGCTCATGCTCGGGGAGAGCGCTCAGCTTTTTTCTTGGAATGGTATTATCTATCGGGCTTCCTCTGCCCTTGAGCAAATCGGTGATGCCGGAGTAGGGAATGTGTTGGGACAACAGTACCATTTACACTCAGAGAAATCGGTATATCGAGATGAAATACTTCTCTCAATTTTCGCGTTTCGATTTATTTTTCTCAAGAGAAAAAGACATCAACTGGATTTTCGATTTATATGTATCAAACCGCGGAATCTCACTCTAACGCTCCCCACTTGGCCGCAAAATGCTGCTGGGATAAAATTAGCAGAGCATTATTTGGATGCACTTGAGGAGAATTAAAGAGAATGTGGGGGTTACTATAATGGTCATTTAGCCGTTTCTGTGTTGGAAAAGGGTAACCATGAGCTTTTGCTAGGGAGAAGAAACAGGCTATAAGTACTTCTCCTTAGAAAATATTAAGCACCGTACTGGACCTCAACATTGGGTGCTCAGTTGGTTATATCAACGGGTTGGCTGAAAGAATACTTTGTCCATGGTGGCTGAGTGAAACAGGAATAGAAGTAAGGAATTCCATCAATACGCATTCCAAATTTTACAGAGGCACAATAACATTTTTATCTCATTCCAGTGACGTAACTAGAATTTCACGATTGGGGACATGAGTTTCTTAAACAAATCGAGGGGGGCAATAATATATTACATTCAGAATGGCGTTCGTTACTCCCAGAATTAATTTCGGGCGAATCACGGACCTTCCAAGGTTTGCTGTGCATACGTTCATACGGGGCCTAGAACAGAAGTTTTAGTCCACTCCACTTCCCACCTGTTACGCCAATGATTCCGATAAGCAATATGTGTCACTTAAATTCTCGGAAGCGATTCTTGGTGCTTCCAGTTTGTTCGTTCTATGCCCGCATAGAACGTTCCCGCATGGAAAATGCTAGGATTATTCGAAACTATTGCACCTCGCGTGAAGTTGCAATCCGGAAAAGTGAGTGTTGAGAACCTAGTATTCCGTCTTCACTACCGCCTGACGGCCATTCTGCTTTTGGTGGGATGTTTACTCGTCTCCGCCTCACAATTCTTTGGGGAGCCCATTCAGTGCATCAATGGCTTCGCGCCGCAGGAGAATGAGGACGATAAGGATTTCGTGAAGGCCATCAACTCGTACTGTTGGATCATGTCTACCTTCACACTTCCTCATCTATATGACAAGGAAGTGGGAGTGGAGGTGGCCCACCCTGGCGTAGGCCCTCACACAGAAGAAGCAGAGAAAAAATACCATGCCTACTACCAATGGGTCCCTTTCTTTTTGCTTCTTCAATCCATGATGTTCTACGCCACTCATTACATCTGGAAGAATATAGAGGGCGGGCAGTTGAAGAACGTGCTTAACGGCCTGGACGAGCTCACTTTGGAAGAGAAAGAACGACAGGAGAAAGAGAACCTGGTAGTCGAGTATCTGAAGAAGACCAAGGGAAGACATGCATTCTGGTACGCTGAGTACATATTCATGGAAGTTCTTAATTTATTTCACGTCATCGGACAGATCTACTTCACCGACAAGTTCTTGGGTTACGAATTCACGACGTATGGGGCTGATGTTGTCAGATTTTTGGAAGAAGACCCAGAGAATCGTACGGATCCCATGACCAGAGTCTTTCCCAGAGTCACTAAATGCACATTCCATAACTTCGGTCAATCAGGCACGATCCAGAAAATAGATAATCTCTGTGTTCTAGCCCTGAATATCGTGAACGAGAAGATTTACACCGTGTTCTGGTTCTGGTTCGTCATTCTTGCCGTACTCTCTGGTCTTACATTGCTGTATCGCGCGGCAATCCTTCTGTCGAGTCTCCTTCGAATACTTTTGCTCCGAATGCGGGGCGGAAACCGGAAGAGAATTCTTGTCGAGGCCATAACGAGGAAGTTGGGTCGAGCTGATTGGTTTCTTCTTTATCATCTTGGAAAGCACATGGATCCTCTCCATTACGAGGGTTTTCTCGAGAAAGTTGGTGAGGAATTCAACGTATATGGTGACAACTCGGAAGAAATGAAGCCCTTGAAATAGTCACTCCATTGAATCTACCTCCTCCGACATGCCTCTTTTACCTCACTTTACCTGTCCCTGCATGCATTTAGTCAAGATGCTCATTGAAGCTTTGAAGAATGATTTGTTTGTGTAATCACGAAATGAGGCCGTGATAGTGCTAGTGCCTTACTACTTATACATAATATCAGATACAGTATACTATCGGATCATACTTGAACTAATATGACGTTGCTCAGGATTTGCATATAAGGCCCATTGTCTTTGGAGGGGTTTCTAAAGAAGCTCAGGGTGGAGATGAAGACGGATAAAATGGAAACCCCCTCATTCGTAGTATCAGTTTCTTTTGTAGTTCCTGCCATGCATTATTATTCTTTTTTTCCCGGAAGGAATCGTATTGGGGCTTCCACGTTGTGAAACATTTGTCCATGAGTGAAAGTTAGAGTTATTGGATGTTGTAATGCAACTTCAATGTGATCTCAAATATTGATAACAGGAAATTTTCAATTCAATGTGCCATGTGCTTCCAGCAAATCATACTGCCAATTATCTGGCTTGTAGGTCTGTATAAGCTTGTAGGGGACAGATTAATTAAACTAATTGCAATAACTCATGTTTCCAACGATCCAATTCTCTAATGTGATGAAGAAAAATAATCATTATGTGAATTATTCCTCTGCATATGCTTTACTTTACGGATTTTGAGATGGTATCCAATAAAAGGCAATTTATCTAGTTACTGCATTAATGTCTGGACAGCTCTCAAAAACAAGGGATTCACTAGCCTTCGATTTTCATGCATTCTGTATGGACATTCTGTTGAAATAAACTCAATTCAAACCAAATGAATCCTCTTGTTCTTAAAATTATGTTCCCGCTTCATGTCCTTAGAAATGAAGAGTTCTTTTTACAGGAATACCCCATGGGTCAACTTTTATCCATATCGACTCATTATGCATTGCCATCGCACAATTTTATTAAGAGGGTAGGCTGAAGTCAGAAGTGTCATACGTTGAAAGCGGTTCTTTTATAAGAGTTTTGTTGCTCACACTCTGAAGCGCTCCTAGATTATACCAATAAAGAGCATTGTAGCCTCATGGCCTACTTGCTCTCCTTTGGTGACTGGCCTAAAAAAAAATTTCCCAATTCCCACCGCACCCTCATTAGCCTCTCGCGGCACCCCTGGGTGCCGCGGCACACAGTTTGAGAACCGTTTCTTTAGAGTGAGGGTGCTAGCGCCGTGGCTAATGAGGCAAAATGAGGCAAATGCCCAAAGAAACTTATTGCGCACATTCGATCTTTCTCCCCATGCAACCCCAAGTGCAACAGGTTCTTGCCCCTGACCTTAGTCTCAATACGGTTCTGATGAATTCACGTCTTCATCTGCCCCTGACAAAGAGAGCATTGGGGTCATGAACTAACCCGGAATAATGACGCGGAAGAAGGAAGGGAGGAGATCTTCCATATTCAATTATGGCCTCTGTGCCCTAACCAATTGAGGTAATAGGGGAGAAAATGCGTTCTCGCCATGGGAAGTCATGCAGTTCCGTTCGGATGAGATCCTAATAGACGCTTGCGACCGGGCTGACGTCTTCACAAATAAATAAAAATCGAGATGAGCGCGAATTTCGAAGTTTGGGACCAGGGATTATGGCTTTGTCTATTGTACGACAAGGTCGCATGTAGAAATGACGCGCGTGGAATATTTTTACTAAGTGAGCAAACAAATTGGGCACTGTGAGGCGTTGTCGCAAAACCTCATAGGGTGTTAACAAGGGCACATCATGTGCACGGAATGTCTGAGCGATTTGGATTGAGTGCGGAACTGATTCAGGAACAGAACTGCTAAGAATTTAAGATGAAGGATTTAATGGATTTCATGACGAATGCATGCGCTCCCTATCGTCGGCTCCTTGCAGCGAGTTAGTTGCCTCCTAATCGACATTGTGTAGTGTTCCTGGTCCCATTCCCATCCGTCTCCATTATTTCCTCGGGCCGTAATTTCATTTTGTCGCTCCTGACGATGGAGGGCCTCCAGCGGTTTCCAGGCATCTTCTTGTCACATATCGCTTCCAAGGCGTTAGTTAAGTCGCTATCGTAGCCACTGCACAATTAGCACAATTACACTTGTCACTCGAGATCTTGATCACTCGAGATCACTTGAGAAAGAGATCAGAGGAATACAAGTGAAAATGCATTCTCTGACTATTTTTTAAACCAAAGGAATAAAAATGGTATGATTAGTTGATGGATACTGATTGTTGGTTTAGTATAACATTTTTCTGAATGCTAGAAACTCTCGCTCTGCGGGAATGCAAAAATATTAATTTTCGAATTCTCGGCACGTGCACTCAAGGTTCAAGGAAAGGAAAGGTTGGGCTATGCGTACATCAGTAGCCATGGTTTTAAAATATGGGTCATGTTTGTCTAGTCGCTGTCATTGAGAAATTGCGCGGGTACTGAACGAGGGTAGTGGATTCAGCGGATCAGATTGCAGGCCGCTCGATCCTGTTTTCTCGAAAGATCATTGAGTTGGATTCTTTAACGTCCTACTTTTCTCAGACAACTGAGAAACGACCGAGTTTACTGCCTTTGTCATGCTGATAGTCAGACTCCGGCTATAGCGGTCTCTGCCTCTCCCCTTTTCTCGCCCTGTGTTTCTTTCCATAAATGTCTTTGACCCGGAGATTCCTTCGCTGACTCGGCGAAGAATCCTCTCTTCGGATTGCCTGGAGAGTGGCGATGACTAAAGATGATGAGTCTGAGCTCAATTCTTACACAGACATCCTCTGGCAGATATATTGGATCTTTTATTGCACAGGGAAGCAAATTCTTCGTTTCTCTTGTCCTATCCTCCAATATCCTTGTTCCGAGCGTCTATTTAGCTGGGTTGATTTCGACATACGGTGACGAATTGCATACTTTGTCTAAATTGGTAGGAAGACGTCATCCCCTGATATAAGGGCGTGGAGCCAATATGAGGGCGTCTAGTCCTTTTATTGAGTCTGTGGGTCCCCATTCAACGTGGCGGCAGTGAGCACTTGACTGTGTGAATTGACGCCGCCCAAAATTCGATCGGAATTGGGAAATGTAAATCTCAATCCTTTCCAGCGCCATATGTTCATTCGAAGATTATAAAGACGCGGCACGACAGGAGTTTCCTTGTATCGAAGATTGGAATCCATACGACGTTAAGTGGAACTGGAAAGGTCCGATAAGGACTGATTGTGTGTAATTCGTCGCTATATATTGTATTCAACCTTGCACATGTATCAAGGCGTGGCAGATCGAAGAGGTCATCTGAATCAAGATATCCCGTCTTCTCTCTTTCTCTGTCTTGAAACGGATGTAAATCGTGGGCCGTATGGGGAATGGGAGATTGCGTGACTCGCGAGTACGTGAAAACAGGTGTTATCAGCATCCATGCCGCAAATCATCTTTTTCGTGACTGTATCTCATAGTTCAAAAAACGAAACTCGCCGTACAGATTGCAGTGGAGGTGAAGATTGGAAAGAGTTGTAACCTCCTTACGAGGGATATTGACGTACGACCCCATACTAATGGAGCTATTAGGACGTCCGTGCATACAACCATAATCACATTATGAACAAAATATTGCCAGGTTTGATGGAATGGGGACACAAGGACACGGGTCGGATATTCGTGAACATCGTAATTGGAGGCGTGATGACTATAATTATGCGTGTAAACCCTATGAGCCCTGGATACCCATGAATGATGTAGAAAAATGAGGGATCTCGTGTGGAGCGATGACCCCTATAGGCTGACTCATGAGGCTTGGAATGCATGAGTACGCCCTACCGTATAATGCAAACCCCACGAATCATTATGCATCTTCTTGATTCAAATTCCGGATGCGTGACGCACAAGGAAGGAAGGAAGGAAGAAAGGAAAAAAAGGGGGGCGGAAAGGACTCGCGCACGTCTCTCGTTTTCTGTTAATTGGGAGTATTCGCAGAATGGGAACTATGGTGCAGCCTCATCAAAAATCATTTAGAAAGCCGGGGGCTGACACGGATGTCATCCTCACAAGAGGAAGAGGGGAGGAGGAGAAGAGAGGGGAAGCCCGTCGGTTCTGACTGGCGGCATTGAAGCGATGAGATCCTGTCAAATATGAAAAGACCATATAGAATCTCTTGACGTATGGGTGAAAAAGAGACTCTGTGGCGAATCGCTCTGAAGTTTCTGCAGGGGAGGAAGACTTCATCTCTCCAAGCATCCAGCAACATCGACTTGTTAAACTCTGTTATCTCACTCGGATTTCCGTTCGTTATTATCCATACAAGTGTTCGTTTTTCCCCCAGGTCTTTATCCTCGTGATGACGTATTGCATCACGATCATCTAAAATGTGAATCAGCAAATGTCTGCTTTATTGCTGATAAAGATATTACATTTTTCCATATTCATCACTTCATACAAGTCTTACAGTACTGTGCGCTCTACCAGGCTTTGCAGTAGCATGTCAGCTGGTTGGTAGATGCAGCGTATGCGTCTTGCTTTGAGGTTTCCACACGTGCTGTTGTAGCTCAGCAGTTGGAGCAACGGATATCGGCGGCCTGTGATCTGTAGTAGTTACTCGTCAATTGAAACAAGGTCATCATCCACGTTGCTGGTTCGAGTCCTGCCGCGGCCCTGCCATTTTTCGAGTTTGATTGGACACGTTTGGATGGAAGGAACATTAAGTTTTGGCAAAACGATCTCTTCTCCGAGGGATTGAATGGTGTTGGAAAGACAAATAGAGCTTGTCATGGGAGAAGAGGAACCAACAAGTTGTATGACGTCAACTGGGGGTTTACACGTGCTAGTATACCTAGCCTTGGGGTATACTCGCATGAAAATGTAGCCCACATAGTACAGGAACGTTCAAGAAAACATTCAACCTGTGCTCAAAGAAGTTTGGAACGTTCAATATTAATGAATGAGCAGTTTTTGAGCATTCGATTAAGATGCTATTTGATCACCGATAACCAATTCTTATCTTAGCTCTTGAAGGACGATAGTTGGACGTTTGGTAGAACATTTAAAGGGAATATTCATTGCAGGTTATTCAAGTAAATACTTAAAAATTGGACTTGAATAAATACTTTAAAATTATAAATATAAATATAATTTAAATATAAATATAATTTAAATATGAATATAATTTAAATATAAGTATAATTTAAATATAAATATAATTTAAATATAAATATAATTTAAATATAAATATAATTTAAATATAATTTAAATTTAAATTTAAAATTAAATTTAAATTTATAAAGGTAAATAGTTAAAAATAAAAAAATAAAAAAATAAAAAAATTGGACTGAAAGCCTCCTCTGGATGTTTCTGTGCATCTCGGCTGAGCAGAGAAGCAGAGAAGTAGCAGAGAAGCTAACCGAAGTTGCTCGACCAAACAAGGGTCCCAAAACGGATTTCGGACATTTGAACAGTCAATATAATTTTTCCAATGGCATACATTGTACTTTCTGAACTATAAGTAGGACGTTTATTGGACGTTTCTTGAACGTTCCAGGACAACTTGGAAGAAATCTATTCCTCGAATGAACTTTTATGTGAATATATACCCGCATTCGAGTGAACTCATTCAAGGAAACGCTTAAAGCGTTTTTAGGGTAGATACAGAAACTGGAACGAGTGAAAGAGGAAGAAGAACAAGAGAACAGATGTGTAATCTTGTTGACGCATTTACATATGGGCTCATCCACGCCCACTAGTTCCGCATATATGGGGGAAGGAATCCTCGGAAACTGTTTGCTCCAATAGAGAAATATGCTCTCATCTTCCGTTTCCTTGAGTCATCGGACGGACGTCGACCGGTCAGGTCGACGTCCGTCCGATGACTCAAGTTATATGGAAGTTATAAAGATCAAGTGTGTCTGTCAAAATGGATTCACGTCGAGTACCAGTACGGAGTGCGTGTGCTCCAGGGATGCTATACAAATTTCGACAACTGTGGTTGCTTGGCGAAAGATAAGCTAGTTATCGTCTCCAAGGGTGTATTCAGACTTTATCAAGGGAGTCTTTAAAGAGTATACGTGGTAAGGGAAGCAAGGACAACAACTCCGGGCAGTTGCACCAGGCGAAATTCAAGCGTTTCGGGGTTTGATATGCATACAGTTAGACGGAAGCTGTAATATAACCAAAGATAGAAACATGGGCCATTTACACATTACAATGACACGGAAGTCCTTCTCTCCCACTACTTATTGCGGGTGAATCACAAATGTTTCAAAATTAGCTGTGAAAACTTTCTGTGAAAATTGTGAAACGAGAGACGCACGCAGGTCTTTTCCGCCCCCTTGAAGTTTGCCCCCTCTCCGAGCTGGTTACGCCAATGTTTCGATAAGATAAGAGAGTCATTGGGGTCCATGACAGTCGTAGTTCTCTGTTCGCACATACTGTGAGCGCTTCGATATCATCCGTGAAAATGCTTGGATTATTCGAAAAACTCACACCTCATGTGAAACTTCAATCCGGGAAAGTTCGAGTAGAGAATCTCGCATTCCGTCTTCATTACCGCTTGACGTCTATGTTACTTCTGCTCGGGTGCATCCTCGTCTCCGCTACTCAATTCATTGGGGAGCCCATTCAGTGCATCAATACCTTTATGCCCGACGATGAGCAATTTNAGCGTTTTTAGGGTAGATACAGAAACTGGAACGAGTGAAAGAGGAAGAAGAACAAGAGAACAGATGTGTAATCTTGTTGACGCATTTACATATGGGCTCATCCACGCCCACTAGTTCCGCATATATGGGGGAAGGAATCCTCGGAAACTGTTTGCTCCAATAGAGAAATATGCTCTCATCTTCCGTTTCCTTGAGTCATCGGACGGACGTCGACCGGTCAGGTCGACGTCCGTCCGATGACTCAAGTTATATGGAAGTTATAAAGATCAAGTGTGTCTGTCAAAATGGATTCACGTCGAGTACCAGTACGGAGTGCGTGTGCTCCAGGGATGCTATACAAATTTCGACAACTGTGGTTGCTTGGCGAAAGATAAGCTAGTTATCGTCTCCAAGGGTGTATTCAGACTTTATCAAGGGAGTCTTTAAAGAGTATACGTGGTAAGGGAAGCAAGGACAACAACTCCGGGCAGTTGCACCAGGCGAAATTCAAGCGTTTCGGGGTTTGATATGCATACAGTTAGACGGAAGCTGTAATATAACCAAAGATAGAAACATGGGCCATTTACACATTACAATGACACGGAAGTCCTTCTCTCCCACTACTTATTGCGGGTGAATCACAAATGTTTCAAAATTAGCTGTGAAAACTTTCTGTGAAAATTGTGAAACGAGAGACGCACGCAGGTCTTTTCCGCCCCCTTGAAGTTTGCCCCCTCTCCGAGCTGGTTACGCCAATGTTTCGATAAGATAAGAGAGTCATTGGGGTCCATGACAGTCGTAGTTCTCTGTTCGCACATACTGTGAGCGCTTCGATATCATCCGTGAAAATGCTTGGATTATTCGAAAAACTCACACCTCATGTGAAACTTCAATCCGGGAAAGTTCGAGTAGAGAATCTCGCATTCCGTCTTCATTACCGCTTGACGTCTATGTTACTTCTGCTCGGGTGCATCCTCGTCTCCGCTACTCAATTCATTGGGGAGCCCATTCAGTGCATCAATACCTTTATGCCCGACGATGAGCAATTTGGGAAGGCCTGCAACACGTACTGCTGGATCATGTCTACCTTCACACTTCCTCATCTATATGACAAGGAAGTGGGAGTGGAGGTGGCCCACCCTGGCGTAGGTCCTCACACAGAAGAAGTAGATAAAAAGTACCATGCCTACTACCAGTGGGTTCCTTTCGTCTTGCTTCTACAAGCCATGATGTTCTACGCCACTCATTATATCTGGAAGAATATAGAGGGCGGGCAGTTGAAGAACGTGCTTAACGGCCTGGACGCACTCATGTTGGATAAGGAGGTACGAGAAAAGAAACAGGAACAGGTAGCCAAGTATCTGGAGAAGACCAAGGGGAGGCATACGTTCTGGTTCTCTGAGTACATATTATTCGAGATCCTCAACTTCTTTCATGTCATCGGGCAGATCTACTTCACCGACAAGTTCTTGGGTTACGAATTCACGACGTATGGGGCCGATGTAATCAAATTCATGGAAGAAGACCCGGAGAATCGCACGGATCCCATGACCAGAGTCTTTCCCAGAGTCACTAAATGTACATTCCATACCTTCGGTCAATCCGGTACGATCCAGAAAATAGATAACCTCTGTGTTCTAGCTCTGAATATCGTGAACGAGAAGATTTACACCGTGTTCTGGTTCTGGTTCGTCATTCTTGCCATAATCTCTGGTCTTACGTTGCTGTATCGTGTGGCAACCATTCTGTCGAATGCCGTTCGATTATATTTGCTACGGATGCGGGGTGGAGGTCAAAATGGCGATCTCGTCGAAGTCATAACGGGGAAGTTGGGTCGAGCTGATTGGTTTCTTCTTTATCATATTGGAAAGCACATGGATCCTCTCCATTACGAGGGTTTTCTCGAGAAAGTTGGTGAGGTATTCCACGTATTTGGTGACAACTCGGAAGAAATGAAGCCCTTAAGAAAATCGGTGGACTGAGTTTGCTTCTCCCGACGTGCCTCTCTTACTTCGCATCACCTCTCCCTGCATGAACTTCGTGATGTCCATTGAAGCTTTGAAGAATGAGTTGTTTGTGCAATCCCGAAATGAGGCCGTGATAGACCTAGTACGATACTATTTCCACGTACTACACTCTGGCATCATACTAGAACTATTATGACGTTATAGGCTTGCATGTACGGCCCACTGACTAAGGATTTTTTTCCAATTTAAGCACGAGGTGGAGAGGAGATAGATGGAATGGAAACTCCTTTATTTGTATGAGTTTACTGTGCAATTTCTTCCATACATAACTAATATACTTTTTTCAGAAGCAATCATATCTGCCCCTCCCACTAGGGGCATTATTAAAAATTTATCGCAGGGAAAGTGAGAGTGATTTTTAGATTTACCTCAACTTCAATGAAACATTGGTAAATACACTTCAGCTTCAACGAGACCTCATATTGAGAGAGTGAAAATTTCAAATCCAGCTCCATGTGCTTCCAACAACACATTCTGCCAATTATCTTACTTCCAAGACTTAGAAATGACAGTCTGATAGACTCATCGCAATAATCCATCTTCCCAAAGAAGCTAATCTCTGATATGATGAATGGAAAATAATCATTTGGTGAACTATTGATGTGAAGACGCTTTTTTTTCACGGGTTTTGAGATGGTATTCAATAAAGGGCAAATTTATCCAATCCCTGCATTCATTTCTAGACCACTCCAGAAATCAAGGGATTCATGCAGCCTTAAGTTTTGTGCAGTGAGGAATATTCTGTGGGAATAAATAATTGACTCAAATCCGTTGAATCGAAACTTTTCGTATGAAAAGAAATTCTCTTTTCATGCTGCTAGAAATAAAGAGTTCTTATTTTTTCGGAGGCAGTTCGGTCCTGGGATTGAAGAATGATGAACAGGTTGTTCAAAAGATGACTTTTTGCGTTTAAATGCTATGAGAAATTATTGTGCTTTTCGGTAATAGAATACCCGAAATTCGCGGCATGATCATGGAGATTCACGGACTCTTTCTCGAAAGATAATTCCCAGAACGGTTTATTCACCGATAGAATTTTCCCAAAGAGGACTTCTCTTCCTCGAGAAGGAAATGACCCCGAAAGGCTTTCCCCAGACGGCCAATTCCTCGAAGGGAAAAGATAAATCCCGACGGAAAATTCCCCTTCATTCCCGAAGGAAGCATTCCACTCAACAGGCCTGAGATTACGGAGAACTCCTAGGGTTACTTCGAGGACGCGTACGCGGGAAGAATGAGAAGAAATCGCCGGGTGGTCCCTCTTTTCCGCATCAACATCTGGGACAACCATGAACGTGTGATGAACGATCTTCCCCGTGCAACGAATGCCGTAAGGCATTGTGTTTACGGGAAGGCTTTCGGGATAAGCTATCTCAATCTCTTCAAGTTCATCGATATTCTTCAGAGGGAGCAGAGCTTGAATGAAGATTGCTTACTCCTTGCTGCAGGCGCTCCGCCCCACATGCAAATATTGCAACCTGGATCTTGAAAATATGACCTTGGTCCAACCATATGTGAAGGGGCAGATAGATCGAACTAACTTCCTTCAAGATGTGTTGCATAATTTGTGTTACTGAGGTTGGTTGACGGATGTGATGCGTAAAAAAGGTGCTGGTGTTTGAAATGTTTGCAGGTTAGATGAAGACAGATTTCATTTTCTAGTTTAGTACTGACTGAAAAATGAAGAAAGCTGATGGCTGATATTGAGTACTGGTATCTTACTTTTCATGTGAATATCCGCCGGAAAGTGTCCCGCGGAGATAATTCCATCAGGCGAATTACTTACATGGGAAATTTCCGATCGGGGAAGAGTCCTATCTGGGAAATATCCTTTATGGGAAAAATTCGTTCGGTGATAAGTCCGTCATGAAAAGACCGGACACGGATCATGGGAAGTCTGAGAATTTGGAAGATTCTCCATCACTTGGAGAAGCAATGGAAACTTTGTTTTTGATAACAGAATGACCCCAAGTAGCAAATGAACGTTCTCGAAAGCGTTCAACATGTTTTTACTGTAAATACGTTTTGGAGCCTTAATAGCTCACGAATGTGCAGCTTTAGGAGACTTAGTTAAGGTGCCGTTTGATCACCAACCTAATTTTATTCATGACCTTTCTGAGGGACGTTTAGTTGAACGGTAAATGTAAAGTTTTCTTTAAGCACATCGGTTCTACTTGGTCGGGGCAGCAGGCAAGCCATCTGCATCTGACAGAGACTCGAACAGGCAAGGTTTAACCTTAATCGCGGCTACATCGAGTCAATACCGGATGTAGCCGGAATTAGTCCTCGAAACATTTCTAACCTTACTTGATCTTTCACCGCAGACACTTTGTTGAAAGACATTTGAGTTCTTCAACACGTTCGTCTGAAGAGGTCACCCAGTCCAAGGAGTCTCCAGGAAACTAAAGCTCGGAGGAGGGAGGGCGGATAGATCAATTTCCAACCTGACTCCATAGAATGCCCGCAGAAGAGCATATGACAGTGCATTTCGCTTCTAAGGAGCATCTTGTGCAGGGCTGTCCAACTTCTCAAGAGGACATATATCGGAATGTGATGAAAGACTCCATCGAAACCTAAAAATAGACCCTTTAGAATCTAAGGGTCTATCCCGACATGTAACTCTGGAGCGGGAAAGAAGTATTGAGCTAATAAAAGTATCAGAAAGATTTTGCTCTTGTGAAAGGAGTTGAAATCCCACAAAGAGATAGGAAGGATGATTTGAAATAGGAACGTCTTCCACAAAGGAATGTAGTCTTCCCAATCAGACTTAGAGGCTTGGCTGCATGATAGCCCTCGACACGGGAACAGAGCTGCATTTGTTCTATAGAAAATGTAAAAGGTGAGGAGAACGTTTCAAGGATGTTCCTTGCTTATTGACTGAATCCTAAAATAAATTATTTGAACGTTTTGGTGCTGCTTAGAAACATTAAATTCACGTCCTGATGAACGTTCAGGGAACGAATAAATTAAACGTTCATAGACACTAAATTTTGGACATTTGAACAGTCAATAAACCGTTTCTGAGGCCGTTCGTTGCACGTTAGCTGTATCTGAAATAATACGTGCATTGAACATTCCTTGAGCGTTGCGGTGCTGCTTGGAACATTTCAATTCCCCTGAAGGCAGGGAGGGGGGGAGGGGGCATCCATAGGCTCCTTTGGTTTCTCTCGTCTATGTGTGCTTAAAAAAAAAACACCAAAAAATAATTGTCGACTATAGTCGATAGCTTGTCACTTTTATGTGAACCCGGAAGTGCTTTCCATCAAACCCACTTATTAACGTGACAACATGCTTGCAACTGCAGAGTTTTTCTGAAAAGAGAATCGTGGCTGAATGCCAGCGGAAGAGAGATGAATGCTGGTCTGGAGAGAGAACCTACTGAGCAAGATTTACCATATACGGTACTGCATCAGTTCCTCAAGAAAAGAAACGAGAGGAAGATAGAGATAGAGGGGCCCCTGGCCAAGCCGCAATATGACGTCCGGGATTCGAATCGGAAGAGGAATAATGTATCCGAGGAAAGTGGCTGCCGTACACGGAATGGCCCCTAAAATTTTTCTTCTCCGTGGGGAACCTTTTCCTTTCCCTCTAGCATACGTAGGAGTCCTATAATGGAGGGAGGTCATTTAGAATGAAGGGCCGTTATCCCGGGAGAGAAGGAGATACCTTGAATGGGACAACGAAACAAAGAGGGAAAGCATTCACTACATTCTCTCTAATTGGTTCCCTTCCCTTGCCTGCCGGACGTGCCCGGAAAGCAAGCACGTTGTTTTCTGGAATCCGCACGACTTTCCAGAACCACAACTGATAGTAGAAGTTGCCTAAACTACGCAGGTACGTTAATCTAAACAGTCTTTGATAAATTGAAAGACTCAAGATGGAATAAAACATAAATTCCCTAAATATATATACATGGTTCGTATTTGTTAAAAAACAAAACAAAAAAAAACAAACAAAAAAAAACAATGCTTTCAGGGATTGGGAAAAAAAACATCGGGTAATAAATTTTTGGCAAAGGCCGACAAAGCAATAAATCGTTAGCGAGAATACTGCTGAACCTGACAGCACAAGAGGGACACGAAGAAGTATGTCAGATGTACAGTAAATCCAACACGGAAGAGGACATTGGAGCACCCTTTCAATGGCGCAAGAGATTTACAGATGCCAAAGCAAGTCTAGCTATCCTACTTTCTCATGATTCCTTTGCGAAGTTTTCTTCTGTCCTCCTGTCTTAGGAAGAGTTTGACTTTCATATGTAAGATTCAGTCTTCGGCATCCTGAACCTCTTGAACCACTACTGGATGCACACATTCATGTCCTCTCCCAAGCTGAATATCCGTAAAATTGTTTTTTTTTTATCATCTGTCATCTGTTTTCACGCTCAGCGTTGAAACTGGAATCGTGTTCATCTGTTCATTCATCATTTGTTCGATGTAACTGCAGAAAAACCGCATCAAAGTGCTTATATAAATAATTTAAATGAAATTGGCTCAATTTTCGTTGTATCAGTCAGTTAGAATCCTGTTGAACTGGGGTGGCGCTGTCAAATCTTTTATCTTGAACAAGCGAGTTAATATATTCCGAATTTGGGTGCGGTCTGTTGACATACTATCCGTATTGCTCATCTGTGACTTGAAGGGCGAACCATATGACGCATACAATATATACTAAATGAATCACGTTGCTAAGAGAAACAAGAGCCATAAAGTTGCACACTTATCAGATAACCATCTTCCGATCTCCCTACAGAATACATAGTATTGAACTTCGATCAACAAAAAGAAACCAGACTCGTGAGATTCTGAGCGCATTCAGTCTTAACCCGAGTCATGACTCGAAGGTCACAGCTCCACGTTTGCATTGAGGTTTCAATAGGGATTCCCCCCCCCCCCCCCCCCCCCCCC